TCTTCAGGGTCTTTGGACTCCGTGGGCTCCTCTGTGCTCAGGAGCGTAAACAGGAATGTGACGGAAGGTTCTGGCTGCAAGGCCAGCGTTTGCTCTGAAGAAGATGGCTTTGGCAAGAGAAGGTCCCATGGTGACGGAAGGGCAGAGGGCTGGCAGCCAGGGGCACTGGGTCCTCCCACACCGTATAGCAAGACAGCGGGGCTGGTGGCCGGCAGCCCCAAGTTCCTCTCAGGCAGAGGAAGTTTCTCCAGCTGCCTGCCACCCTTCCTCCCGCCCCTGCTGTCTGCCTTGGGAGGCCCTGCTGCTTCCTGTCACCTCTAAGACTGGCTCCCCGGAGACCTGAGGGTCTTCTGGCTCCTGTTTCTCAACAGGCTGTGCCTCTGGCTTCGCCACGGGTTTAGAGCGGGCTCTTCGTTTGCCCCTGGGAAACTGAAGGAGACAGAAGCCTGGTTGGTGAGGCACGTCCACTGTCCTGCCGAGTTCCCCTTTCCAGCCTTGTCTGGTTTCCTTTCCTTTCTTTCTTTCTTTTTTTTAAAATTTATTTATTTTTGAGAGAGACAGAGCGGGAGTCGGGGAGGAGCGAAGAGAGAGGGAGACACAGAATCCGAAGCAGGCTCCAGGCTCTGAGGTGTCGGCCCAGAGCCTGATGCGGGTCTCGAACCCACGAGCCGTGAGATCATGACCTGAGCCAAAGTTGGACGCTGAGCCACACAGGCGCCCCCTTGTCTGGTTTCCTTGAGGCAGCCTCCAGCCTGGAGAGCCTCCACCGCCGGTCCTGTCCAGCAAACCAGAGCCTTCAACGTTAGGATTACCACCTTTAGCGAATAAAGCACGAGGGTACCCGGTGTGATTTGAATCTCAGATGAAACCGAATACTTTTACAAGTAGAAGTATGGCCCATGCAATGTTTGGGAAATACTTATATTAAAAAACGATTCGTTGTTTATCTGAAATTCAGATTTTACTAGGTGGCCCGTAGTTTATCGGGCACCATGCTACATGCTGGTAATATTTTATAAACCAAATGCCTGCAGATGCAAGGAGTAGGGTGTGAGGACGTGAGGGGCACACTGTGGAAAGGAATCCTAGAGAAGCTTGTGAAAAAGCAGAGAATCCCTCCCACTTTTGGCGTAGAAAGCATCTATCAACAGACACGGAGAAACAAAGAGTGTGGCATTCAAGGCCGTCTGTCATGCACGCTCCTGTTTCTAACCCCCTGAATATGCCACTGTCCCTTAACAGGTCTCTGCTCAGAGCAGCCAGGAGCCTCACTTCCCAGCACCAGCTTGGCCTGTCCCTACTGCCACACTCTTGCCCATGCTCTTCACCCCTGTCCTGTTCCCTCCCTGCTCTGCAATGGGAGCTGGACCCACTCTTTCCTCGGACCTCCTTTGGGACCCCCTTGAACAAGTTCACATTCCTGAGCCTGAACATGCATCTGTCTCTACAAAGTGATGTTAGACAGCCCACCAAGTAGGCTTGAAATACAGCTGCTCCCCAAGTGACAGAAAGTCTTTAAATACATATATTTTTTTTAATGTTTTATTTATTTTTTTTGAGAGAGAGAGACAGACAGCGTGAGCAGGGTAGGGTGAGAGAGAGGGAGACACAGAATCAGAAGCAGGCCCCAGGCTCTGAGCTAGCTGTCAGCACAGAGCCAGAGGCGGGGCTTGAACCCACGAACCACGAGATCGTGACCTGAGCCGAAGTCGGACGCTTAACCGACTGAGCCACCCAGGCGCCCCTAAATACATATTTTTTAAATGTTTATTTTTGAGAGAGAGAGAGAGAGCAAGAGGGAGAGGGAGAGCGAGAGCGAGCGATGGGGGGAGGGCAGAGAGAGGGAGACAGAGGATCTGCAGCAAGCTCTGCACTGACAGCAGACAGCCCGATGCGGGGCTTGAACTCACAGGCTGTAAGAGCTTGATCTGAGCCCAAGTAGGACGCTTAACTGACTGAGCCACCCAGGCGCCCCCACCCCTCCCCAGACGACATGAAGTCTTCAGTCAATAGATGGAATCATTGCTGTTTTTTCACGTTCAGACTTTTCAGAAGCTTGCACATCTGCTGGCCTGGTGATGGAGGACAATCCAATTAGGAGGCAAATAGTGACCTCCCACGTGTCCTTCACATGGAGCTCCATCTGGGGCTTTTGACAGGCCTATGGGTTGTGGCAGGCATCCCATGTGGAGTGCTTTCTGCAGGACATTGCACTTTTCCAGTGGCCTAAATGATTCTAATTCCTGTCCACATGATGTAAACGGAATCTTCGCGGCGGCCGATACCCTGCAGGAGCCCCGGGACTCCCTGAGCTCCGAGGTAACACCAGTTCTCCCAAGCGGGCAGCTCTGCCCCTGGGTTCGATTTGTCCCAGGGAGAAGCTGGCAGCGGGTGACAAGACCAGACCTACAAGACTAGACAGGACCTTTGTCCCTGGTGAGGTTGCTTTGGTAACTAGGCTTAAAGACACGACTCTAATGGAAATAAATAAAAAAGAGTTTACACACAGTGGCTGACTTACGCCAAGAAGAAAACCTGGGAGCAGCCTCAAGGGCCCAGACATTAGAAAAGGTTCAGTAACCAGTGGCATGAACATGACAGAACACGGCTCACTCTGCAGCCGATGGTCCCCAGTAAATGCTGGTTGACCAACTGCTGTCTGTGCGACAGGCCTCGGCAGGGTCCTGAGAATACACAGACAGGTGATCGTGACCCAGTTCTGCCCAGAAGCCCCCCAGGGCTGGGGGGAGGTCCCAGGTTCCCAGGCGACCACAGCACAGGGAGATGTGCTGTAACAGAGCCTGCAGACAGCCCAGGCCACGGAACAAGGGAGCCGCACGTTTGGCCCAGAGCTCAAGGTAGACTCTGCCGTGAATATGATGCTGGATTGTCCACAGGGAATGGGGTATCTTGGCATAAGGAGAGCAATCCAAAAGAGGGAGCAGCTTGGGCAGGCCAGTGCCGAAGGGCACTCCCCCGGGACATAGCGTGAGCCGCCTGGGCTGTGGCCCCCAGGTGACAAGGAGGCATGGAGACCTTTGTGTGTTTCTGTGTGGGTTGTCTGGGCCTTAACTGGGAGGGTGGGCGGGATGAGGAGACCCTGGGGGGTGGGAAGCCGAGGGCCTCGGGAGGGGAGGGAGGCAAGCGCGACCGATCCGCGTGTCAAGCGTCTACACTGTGTGGATACCGGGGAATACGTGCAGGAGATGTGGTTACACCACGAAAGGAAGCCTCATGATGCTCTGTACAAATGAGTTATCTCTTAATCTCTTCGAGATCCTGCTTTCCATTCGTTTGGGTGTTACACTCAGAAGTGGAGTTGTATGAAGGGCTTGAAGCAAGGGAGAAACGGGTTGTCTTCTAGGAAAGTGAGTCTGGTCCGAGTGTGGAGTTTGGAGGTGAGAGAGTAAAAGGAACCAGACCTGCTAGGAGGCCAGCACTGTCCACGGCCATGGGGCAGAGGTAGGCGGAGGTTGGGGCTGATGAATGGGGTGGGGGCGAGCACAGGGCTGCAGAGGACCCCCAGCCTCCTGGCAGCATCAGCTGGGGTGATGCTGATGGCCTGGGGAGCCCGGGAAGAGGCGAGCTGATGGGTGAGCCGTTTGAGGCTGACTTCGGAGTTGAGGTCCAGCTCTGGAAGACAATTCTAGATTCTGGTCTGGGGCTCGGGAGGGAGGTATGGGATGCAGATAAAGACTGGCAACGCTTGAACACACGCTGGCCCACAGAGCCTGTCGTCTGGGGAAGCAAGCGGGTTGGAGAGAAGGCCCAGGACTGAACCGGGGGTCCTGGTATTTCCAGGGAAGTCAAGAAAGAGGGGCCGGCAGTACCAAGGCCCCGGGAAGGGGGTTCTTGGCCAGGCTGAGCGTGGCAGAGACCTGAGTCTGTAGCATTGGTGGGGGGGGGAGGTCACTGGTTATCTCCATAGTCAATGGGGGGATGACTTCTGTAGTCAATGGGACAGAGGCAGAGAGCAACTTTTTAAAAAAAATGTTTATTTTGAGAGAGAGCATGCAGGGAGGAGCGGGGGGGGGGGGGGGGGGGGGGGCGCGCAGAGGATCTGAAGCGGGCTCTGCAGTGACAGCAGAGAGCCCGATGCAGGGCTTGAACTCATAAACAGATCATGACCTGAGCTGAAGTTGGGAAGGTTAACCAAGCCACCCAGGTGCCCCCAGAGAGCAACTTTTGAGCATTTTTTCAAAGAGCTGAACCCTAAAAGGAGGCATAGCTGAAACAGGTGACGGCCAAGATTTTTTGGTGGATGTTTCTGACGTAACAAACAGAAGACTGACTGTTCAGGACGGGAGGAAAAGGCCTCAGAGATGAGCGAATTGAATCAAAAGCCAACGTGGCAAGTTGGCCTCGAAAAGAGGGGACCGCTCTCCTCGAGGACGGGGGGTGGGGGGAGTAGGAGGTGGGGAGGATGTGGGGAGAACTTAGGATTTAAAGACCTCAACTTGTTTCAAGGACTAGGAGGCAAGGACAAGTGTCAGGAGGAGCCAGAAGGGACATTAGTTTGTGCCACTGCCATTGAGTTGTACACGTGTCCCTGGGCGTCCTTGAGTCGAGTGGGCAAACTGAATCTGTCTTTGACTAGCCCCCCAGGAAGGTCTGCGCCGGTGGTCGACAGGGGGCTGGGCTGGGGTGAGGAGCTGGTTGCTTCACAGGAGCCTCAGGGGGAACAAAGGCCGGACCCTGGACCCTGCGAGGAGCGGGTCCCCAGGCGCCAGGCGGTCCCACCTCTTTCCTCCTGGGCCTGGAGGGGCTGGGGCTCCCCAGAGGCCTCCTTTCCAGGCAGTCCCGCCTTGAAGGAACAGGTGTCACTGGCCGGAAAAAAATAAACGTTGTGAGCAGAGCAGTGATCACGGGGCTCCCAGGGGCCAGGCTGGCAATCCCCTGCACCACGGGACAATCCCGGTGACACAGGCCAAAGTCTTGGCTTCTTGGACCTTCCATCCTCGCCTCTACGTCTATAAAACAGCAGTCTACAGATAAACAGAAACTTTGTAATCAAAAACATTTTATTAAAACAACAACACGGTTTCTCCTTAAACGCCAGTCTCAGTTTTTCAGGGACAGAGAGAATTTGCAGTGACAACGTTAACACGGCACCCAGCCACCCCCAACTCCACGGGACTGAGGCACTTGCTGGGCGCTCCGCCCGCCGGCCAGCGAGGACAAGTCTTCAGCCCTCCGGCTCTGGGGCTCCGGGCCCATCGCAGCAAGGGGCTCGCGGGCGGGGTCTGACAAAGCATGAAGTGTTGAGCAGGGAGCCTGCGGTCCCTGGGCCTTTCAAGGGCTCTTGCTGGCTGCCCACCGGGCTCACCAAGCGTCCTAACCCAGCACATTGCACCTCTGCTACCCACTAGCCATGCCCACTCCCCTCTACCTCCACAGCCCTGCAAACGTCAGAAGACACACCTGCCTGGGGAACGGCGGGAACCGTGGGGGGGCGGCCTCCGTGAGCCGCACGTGACCAGCACGGACAAAGGAGAAGCGGGGGAGCAGGGCTCCCCAGAAAGGTGACAGCACACCCACGCCCGCACTCACTCGCTCCCAGGGGCAGACGCTAAGGAAACTAAAAGTGAAAACTGCCTCCGACCCCTCTCCTTTCCTGACAGATGAAAAGGCGCCTCCTAGAACTTTATAGGTGTGGCTGCAAAACGCTAGTGGGACTAGGATTCGGATCATTTGACCCCGTTTTCCCTCTACAGTGGCGTAGACTCTGCACTTTATTTTGGGTGAGTAAGTAACCAGAGGGGCACCTCCCACCACAGCCCCTTTCCCGGCCCCGTGCAGAGGCCCGGGCCTCCGGTCCCGCGGCACCCTCCTTGCCCCCAGCAGCCTGGCATTTAACCGAACATCTCGGCGGCAGAGCGGAGCTACGGGACAGCTTTTCCCGAGAAAGGCTCATGGTCTCAGACCCAACCGAGGCTTCCCTCCCTCCTTTACGAGGTAAAACTACAGTGTCCGGCTTCGTCCTCACAGCTAGCGTTCCCTCCTGGACCATCTACAGAACCTGAGAGGCAGCCCAAGCCTCTTGACGCAGACGGGCTCGTGGCCGGGAACCAAGCCCCCAGGAGAAGACAACGCAGGGGGCGGGGGGCTCCTGAGGCCGCCGTGGGCCTCTGTACGGGTCTCCGCTGGAGCTAGTGCAGAGCGGCTCCATCCCCGACAGGGGCCCGGGCCCTCTCTCACCTGCAGCCCCAGCCCTTTCCTCTCCCCCGGCTGGGCCAGTCATCCCTCCTCCCTGGTCCGAGGCCCACCCAGAAACTGGCTGGGCTCCCCTGGGAGGGAGGGAGGGGGAAGCTGGTGGGTCAGATTAGACGTAGGGCAGCAGTGCATGGCCAGGCCAGGGGAGCCCCGTTTCCTGAGATGGCTGTCGCCCCGCACAAGCTTTCAGAGGACAGGCCTCCAGTGGCTATGGCTCAGGCACAGGGAACAAGGCCGGGGGAGGGGACCCCAAGTGTCTTCTCCACGGGGGGGGGGGGAGGAGCTATGTACAAGGGAGGGGAGAATACGGCCCCCACGACATCTCATTCAACCAGGAGATCAAACTGCTCAGCAGCTTCGAACTCAGCATTCATGGCTGCAGCCCATTCATCCAGCTCTGATTTCTAGGGGAAGAAAAATGGGGGGGAGGGGCAGGTGAGCGAGGAAAGGGGTGTGTGTTGGCCAGAGCATTTCTACCTGTGCCCTGCAGGTGCTGAGCCCCGGGCCAGCCTGAGCCCCCATGTGTCTCCCAGCATGGCTGGTGTGACCGCAGAGGAAGAGCCCCGCCCCTCACTCACCAGGATCTCTGGCACCTTCTTCTTCTTCCGCTTCTCCTTCATGGTGGGTGGGGAGATTCCAGGGAGAGTGGTATCTGGGGCCCAGGGCTTCACAGGGACCCTGGGGACTTCAGTGAACTTTGAACACTGCACCGGTGAGACTCTGGCCAAGTCTTCCGACCCCAGCAGGCCCTCAAAGCCAAAGCAAGACCGGCGGCCCGGGGTGGAGGTGGAGGCGGAGCCGAGGGTCTCCAGCCGGCTGTAGGATCGCCTGACTTTCTTTGACATTTCCAAGTCTCTGGCGTCCAGGTCTCCTTCCCTGGAGTCGGACTCGACGCTCAGGGGGCACAGCACAGGAGTGGGGGTGGGCGTGACGGGGACGCTGCTTGTCTTGAAGAGCTCCTCCCTAGCAGGCTCCTTGCTAGGAGGCTTGTTTTCCTTCTCCAAGAAAAAAGCAATCTGTACCGGGACAGAAGGGAGAACAACTCCTGTCACTTGGCTATTATTACTTACTTCCAGAAAGGTCCGAGGAGACTCAAGAGTGGAAAGACGCACAAGATGCTCGTAAAAGGAAGAGAAAAGACAGGACAGGCAACAAATGAGACCCTGAGACAAATTGGGGAAGGGGAAGAAAAGAACAATCGATCATCACTTCGGAATCCGCATCTGTTGACATGAGAGGCCTCCTCACCACTTGGCTCTGTCTCCGAACACGGACCAGAATCTAGCCACCTCTACCGATGCAAGCGTCCATCACAGGTCGTCTGGCCCAGAGCCACAACCTCTTGACCACTCTTCCTGCTACTGCCTGTGCCCTCTCAGGTCCATATGTCACACAGCTGGCAATAGTTTTGTGTGCGTCCGGTCAGTAAGTACTTAGCGGTCACCTGCCCAGTTCCAGATACCGTCCTAAGCCCTGGTCTCCATGGAGCTTCCGTTCTCGTGGGGGGAATCATGGAGCATGTGACAGGCACTAAGCACTTTGAAGGTCAATACGGGCCTTACTGAGGGGACGTGTGAGCTAGAACTTGAAGGAAGAGAGGGAATGAGTCACCTGGAGGAAAAGAGTTCTAGGCAGAGGGAACAGAAGATGCAGAAGTGCCGAGGTGAAGGTGTGTCAGGAAAGGGAAAGGAAGGAGGCCAGTGTGGCTGAAGCGAGAGGAAGTGAGGGGAGGAGCTGAAGATGGGGTTCAAGAGGTAACGGGGGGCACTGTAGGGCCTTCTGTAGGACAGTGTAAGGGGAGGCTGTAGAAACCCTTGCTCTGAGACCTAGGGAGCCACGGCAAGGTTGTGAACGCGAAAAGGCTTAATTTGGTATGTGTGTTAAGAGGTTCACACTTCGGGGCACCTGGGTGGCTCAGTCGGTTGAGCGCCGGACTCTGGCTCAGGTCACGATCTTACGGTTCGTGAGTTCTACCCCCGCATCGGGCTCCACCCTGGCAGTGTGGACCCTGCTTAGAATTCTCTCCCTCTGCCCCTCCTTTGTTTCAAAATAAATAAATACACTTAAAAAAATTAAGAGGGGAAAAAAAAGAGGTTCACATGTTGGCTGCATAAAAATTCCACTCTGAGCTCAAATGCTGCTTCCTCAGAACAGCCATTTCTTACCACAGAATAGAGACCAGCGCCTTCCACCACTATGTCCTTCTGCCACAGGGACCTAGGTCATATGGCAGCCATCGCACTGATTTTGGCTTGTTCACTGGACAGCCATCACCCCAACTAGAACATGAGGTCCTTGAGAGCAGGGATCTCCATTTGTCTGGGTGACCCTGCCTACGTCCAACACCTTCAGCACAGCATTGCATGCAGCAGGCATTCCATAAATGCTCACTGAATGAATGCACACAAAACTCGGCACTGAGTTTTCTGGCAGCCAGCACAAGGTAGGAAAACAGGACAAATTCAGTCGCTCCTGTGGTCTGATAGAAGTATGCTGGTTAGCAAGAGAGACGCTTCCTGGCTGCCAGCACTGGAAATCTGCCCCCGGAGGCTTAGTGAAAGGGAAGCTAAATAAGGGCGCTTGGGAGGTTCAATCGGTTAAGCATCCAACTCTTTTTTAAATTTTATTTAATGTTTATTATTTTTGAGAGAAAAAGACAGAGACAGAATGTGAGTGTGGGAGGGGCAGAAAGGGAGGGAGACACAGAACCCAAAGCAGGCTTCCAGGCTCCGAGCTGTCAGCACAGAGCCCAAGGCCAGGCTCAAACACAAAAACCATGGGATCACAACCTGAGCCGAAGGTAGATGCTCAACCGATGAAGCCACCCAGGCATCCCGCATCCGACTCTTGATTTTGACTCCGGTCATGATCTCATGGTTGGTGAGATTGAGCCCTGCTTTGGGCTCTGCTCTGTCAGCACAGAGCATGCTTGAGATTCTCTCTCGCCTTCTCCCCAGCTTGTGCTGTCTCTCAAAATAAATAAACTTAAAAAAAAGGGGGGGGGGGAATACTGAACAAAATGGGGGGTCACCCTGGACTCCTTCCTCCTCATCCCCTACACCCAAGCAGTCATCCAAGACCTTGAAGCTTTTTTGGTCACTATGTCATCAATCTATCATTCAATCAACCAGAATGAGGGATCACCACGGGGAGGCCTAAGTTCCCGCCCTCAAGACCACACATGGATATTCTCACAGATCTGTAAGGCCTAAGGAGAACTACAAAGAGAAATACGACAGCGACAGTGTGCAAGTGGTCAGGGAAGGCTTCTGGGAGGTGTCCTTTAAGCCGAGTCCTGTGTGAGGGGATGGTCACGTGGTAAGCCCAGGGGCCGAGCATCACTTTGCCCCTGCCCTTCTCTCAGGCCCCCACTGTGTCACTTCAGGATTCCTGGAAGGTTTTCCTGCTTGGCCTCCAGAGGCCCGGCAGGCTTTTTCCAACCCGGTCGCCACCCAGACCCAAGAGGGATTTTTCTGAAGCATGCAAGCCTGTCCCGGTGACTACCGACTCCCCAGAGGCTCCTACGGTGCCAAGGATGGAGCCCACGCTCCTGAGCGTGGCCTTCCTGCTTCATCAGGAAGTGCTCCAGCTTAGCACGCTCCATCCCCTAACACGATCTGAACAAGCTTCTGCTCTCCGCACTGGGGGATTTTGTAAACTCGGGGTCTCTGCAAACACAGCTCCCTGTGCCCAAACACTACTGTCTTTAAAGACCTCGTTGAAATGTTTCCTCTTCTGTGAAACAGTCGCAGGCTAGCCGGTCTGGGTTAGGTGCCTTCCTGACCTCTAGTGCCTTCCTTACTGCAGTTCTTAGCATGCTAGGCCATTCGCTTTCTCTTCCGTCTTTCTCCCCACTTGACTGTGAGCTCCATGTGCTCCTAAAAGGCAGCTAGCCTTTCCCATGTATTGTATCCTCAGGCCCAGGGTTTCTCTTAACGAAACACCCTTAGTAACTCCTGCTACACCAGGAAAAACGCTGTATGCTCTTCTTACAACAATCAGTACTCCCAAACTGAGAAGACAAGAGTGGAAAGGAGGAGGAAGCATTAGAACACAGCTCAGCTCTTAAAGGAAAACAATACAGACGATCGGGACGCCAGAAGACCTCACTAAATTAAGTCCCCGCGGAGTGAGCAAAACAGGGAATGCACGTAGGTGTCCAAAAGCAAACCGTTCTAAGGTACAGATGGTCTCCAACTTAATGATGGTCCAACTTAAAAATTTTCAACTTACTACGGTGCAAAACTGATAGACGTTCAGCAGAGATCACGTTTCAAATTTTGATTGTTTCCCAGGCTAGCGATATGTGGCAACAAACGTCCTCTCTCCTCATGCTGGCAGCCACACAACCGTGTGGGTAAACAACGGATAAAACTTACCACCATTCCATTGTTCGCTTTCTGAACGGTATTCAAGAAATTAAATGGTATCTGACTCTTTGTTATAAACAGCCTTTGTGTTAGATGGTTTACCCAACGGTGTGCTGACTTAAGTGTTCTGAGAACATTTAAGGCAAACTATGCTAAACTATGACGTTCGACGGATTAGGTGTATCCAATGCATAAAAATGCATTTTTCAACTTACGACAGGTTTATCAGGATGTAACCCTGTAATCCTAAGTGGAGGATCTGTACTTCAAAACAGGTACCTGGGCAGATGTGAGCAGCCAGCATGTCCTGCCCCACCTCTAGAGTGCCCCCTACTCAACTCAGCAGCTGAAAATATACTCACCCTTGGGCTCCTTCGAGGCGTGTTCACAGGTGGGATCTGTGGAGACAGTGATAACTGATCACAGGTCCACCCCCAATTTTGGCTCCCAACCCAAGGGCTCTCTGTTGGCCCTCACCTTGACAGTGTGGGCTACGATCTTCTTCAAGACGATGGGCTTTCTGACTGGAGCCGCATGGGATGCCTGGAAAAGAGGAGTGAACATGAACTACACACTAGTCCACCGGCGTCCGGGGCAGAAACTGAGGACTCCCGGGCTCACCTTGGGCCAGATTTCAGGGAGGGTGCTCGGGAGATCAGGGCCTGATTTCCGCTGGGACCTCCGCAGAGGCTGAGTAGGAGATGGGGTCCTGGGCCCTGCGCAGAGAAAAAGGTTAGGAGGTAGGGGAGGGCTCTAAGGCTCAGAGGCTAGAGAACAGGCTCAAGAGAGAGCGAGAGAAAGTGCCCAAACAAGCCCTTTGGGGCTCCTTCCGGGGAATGAGCCTCCTGCAGCGGCGGAGGGAGGGCCTTCTTCACGGGCCTCCGTTCCTCAAACGGCTCGGCCCCGGATTCCCGTGCGCCTTCCGCTCACCGGAGCGTTGGGCGGCCCCTCCGGACCGCGTTCGCCTCTCGGACATATTCGCCTTGGTCTCGATCTCCGTCACTGCCTCCGCCGCCGGGGCTCGCGCCAACCCGGAGGGTCGACGGACACAGCAACGTTCGAATTACCCGCCCGGCTGAGAGGAAGCGGAAGTGACGCAAGGCGGGAGGGCCGCCGTGCTCTGTGTTCACCTCTCCGTCCGCCTTCCCATCCGGCGTCAGCAGGGGCGGGGCCAGTGGCACGCTAGCGTCATCGGAGCGCGCCGCACCCGGAAGAGACGTGGCAGCGGAGGGATAATCGGAGCGGCCCTGGGTAGAGAGAGCAGAGCTCGGCTGAGCGCGGGGTCTGTCCTTTCGCGCCTCGGACCAGCGCTCGCGCCCGTCGGGACCCGTGTGGCGGCCGTTCGGTAACACGAAGCGTAGGGGGGGGAAATCTGTGTTGAGGGTAGGGGCGGGGCTTGGGGGGGGTGGGGCCGAGGCGGAACCCCTGGGGGCGGGGCCGCTTGTATCGGAGAGACGCTGATGGAGGGACGTGGCGGGGGGCGGGATCCAGAAGGAATCGGGGGGTCGCTAGAGGCGGGATTTGCTCAGGGGGCGTGGCCAGGAACGTAGAGGGGCTGAGGGCCGGATTTGGGGGTTGGAGCGATTATGAGAGGTGTGTAGAGGAGTTGAAAGTGGAAACCGTCTGGGCTTTGTGAGTTCGTAGTGGCGGACACCAGAACTCTCAGTTAACTCAGACTCCTTCCTCAGGGTCGAATATGGGACTTTGCAAGTGCCCCAAGAGGAAGGTGACCAATTTGTTCTGTTTCGAACACCGGGTCAACGTCTGCGAGCATTGCCTGGTAGCCAATCACGCCAAGGTGCGTACTTCAGGGGAGGGGCAGAGCAGGGTACTGGGTGGACCGGTAGTAGTGGTTTTCTCGAAATCCCTGAAGGGCCTGGGCCAGAATGGAAGCTTCAGGAGGGCAGGACCTTGGTTTAGTTTGTTCTGGGCTCTGTCCCCAGCCCTTAAGACAGACTCCAGCCCCCTGTGTGCTCAATACATGTTTATTGGTTGAACAAAAGAAAGGATGATTCTTCTTTGTGATGAGAGACAAAGGAACAGCTGGGCCTTGAGGAGATGGGCTCCTCGTTGTGACCTCTCTCTCCCTCTGCAGTGCATCGTCCAGTCCTATCTGCAGTGGCTCCAAGATAGCGACTACAATCCAAACTGCTGCCTGTGCAACACGCCGTTGGCCAACCGGGAGACGACCCGCCTCGTCTGTTATGGTGAGGCCTGGGCACCTTGGGAGGGATCAGGACAGGCCCAGCTTGCTGACCAGTCTCCAGGGCCTCTCTAAGTAGCAGGGCAATGCAATGCAAGCTCTGGAGGCTGGAGCCCCAAATTCTAGCCTTGCTATGTTATTTACCTGCTTTGTGAGCTCAGAGAAGTCATTTCCCTTTCTAGGCCTCAGTGTTTTTCCCTAAACATTAAAGCTCTTTGGGTTTTTTTGTTTTTGTTTTGTGGCTTTTTAAAGTTTACCTATTCTGAGAGAGAGAGTGTGAGAAAGGCTCTAACTCGCAACCCCATGAGATCATGATTTGAGCCAAGGTCAAGACCAGACGTTTAACCGACTGAGCCACCCATGTGTCCCTGAAGCTTTTAGTTTCTTACCTGCCTGTTTTGAGGATTGAGGGAGAGTCCGTCAGACTTGTGGTTCGCATCATGATGTGAGCAGCAGCTGACTGGACCAACGGTGAGCTGAAGGCAGAGAGGAAGGGAGTTTCCCACAGTAAATTCAGTGAAAAGAAGTCAGCAGTCACATGCGTCCTGACCTTGACCTGACTGTGGTGTAAGAGTCTTAGCTCCACTTTTTGAAGGAGCTAGTACAGAAGAGCTCCATGCGTGTATTTGTCAGTGTGTCTGTGTGTATCTATATACGTGAATTTAACGTGGGTTATGTTTTTATGTGTGTTAATGGATTCCTTAGTACTTGTGGGGGAGTAACATCGTATGAACATGTGAACACAGGTGTGTTGTGGGCTTGCAAGAGAACGTGCGGGTGATAGTGCTTGAGTTTTAGCAAATGTGAACGCGGAGACATGTTCGTGTGGGAGTTTGCATGCCCGCAAGTATAGATACAGGGGACGGCACTCGTGTTTGACTGTATGGGTACATGCACATGTACATTTGTGTCCATGGGTGTGGACACTCATACGCGTGCCTGTGTGTGTATTGGGAACTTCTTTGGAAACTGCTCTTGATTAGCTGTCAGCCCGAGGATCTTGTAACAAGTGCAAGTTCAGAGAGGACTCACTTTAAGGGTCGCTGGCATCTTCTTGCTACCCTAGTGGGCTTCTCCCTCCCAGTGGGCTGGGATCTTGGTAGCATCTACCTTGACTCAGTCAGTGGTGACTAAGAAGGCTCAAGTCTTAGGGACCACTGATGATATGGATGTGAGTGAGGGCGGGAAGAAGGCTACAGGCTTACGTGTATGGGAGCAGGCGTCCCTGTAGAAGGCTGGGGGCTGTTGCTGGGCCAGGAGTCCTAAGTGTCCTCTTCCTCATGCCTCTCCTCCCCTATTTCACGGGCCCTAAGATCTCTTTCACTGGGCCTGCCTCAATGAACGTGCCGCCCAGCTACCCCGAAACACAGCGCCTGCTGGTTACCAGTGCCCCAGCTGCAGTGCTCCAATCTTCCCCCCAACCAACCTGGCTGGCCCTGTGGCTTCTGCACTGAGAGAGAAGCTGGCCACAGTCAACTGGGCCCGGGCAGGACTGGGCCTTCCTCTGGTGAGAATCTGTCTGTCTGTCTGTCTGTCTGTCTGACCGTCTGCCCTGGGTGCCACCTGGGCCAGACGGGTGGGGCATCAGGCCGGCCGATGACACATGTTACACGTTCCTTCCTCCAGATTGATGAAGTGGTGAGCCCGGAACCCGAGCCCGTCAATACCTCTGACTTCTCTGACTGGTCTAGTTTTAACGGTAAGCCGCGGCACTGCCATTGTGGGGGGAACCCTTGCCTCCCCGCCTCCCCGCCCTGCTGACAGCTCTCTTCTTGCCATAGCCAGTGGTGCTCCTGAGCGAGAGGAGCTGACCAGCGCTTCTGCCGCCCCAGCCTTCTACAGCCAAGCCCCCCGGCCCCCAGCCTCCCCGGGCCGGCCCGAGCAGCACACGGTGATCCACATGGGCAGCACTGAGCCCTTGACTCATGGTGAGCTGGGGCATTACCTGGCCTAGAGGAGGCTAGAAAAGGAGGGGGTGGCCTCCCAAGCTGCTCAGGGCTCCAGAGTCCTGGCCGGTGGGCCCCTCCCCGCCTCACTCTTACAGAGGTAATTCTGAGATGTCCTGTTAGGCTGAGAGGGCAAGGACCTCCTCCCCTCCCCGCTCCCGCCCTGCTCCAGGCCAGTTTCTCTGAGCCTGCGGGGACCGGTGGCTCTGCCCCTGCAGCCTCAGCCCCGAGGAAGGTGTACGACACGCGGGATGACGAGCGCTCGCCAGGCCTCCACGGCGATTGCGATGATGACAAGTACCGTCGCCGGCCTGCCCTGGGCTGGCTGGCCCAGCTGCTCAGGTACACAGGGGCAGGTGAGGCAGGGTGGCGGGAGGCGGGAGGGGAGGAAGTGAGAGCCAGAGGCCCTGGGCATGATGGTTTCGTGACAGAAGGGGCCTGCTCTGGGTCACGACACCCGGTGTCAGGCCGTGTGGAGAGGCCGCGGCTGGCCAGTAGAAGTCTTGGGCCTGCTCTGCTCGAGGGCTGTTTCCTCGCCAGCTAGGGATCTGGGGCTCGAGCTTGGGCTCTTTGAGGCCCCTTCCTGCTCTGACACCACCTGATACGGTCCAGTTTCCAGAACTGGTTGTTGCCCCCGCTGGTTTGAGCCGCACCTGTGTAATGGGCAGGTGCAGGGATGACCCTGCACACGTGAGGAAACAAAGCTCAAGAGCGAACGGTGGCCCCCGGGGCCAGGAGCCAAGTGTCATGGCTGGAGTTCCTGTCTGGGCCGAGGGGCCGTCGGGGACCGGGCACCTGACCTGACTTTCCCCTCGTCCCCCCCCCCCCACCCCCCAGGAGCCGGGCCGGGTCTCGTAAGCGGCCGCTGACCCTGCTCCAGCGGGCGGGGCTGCTCCTGCTCCTGGGGCTTCTGGGCTTCCTGGCTCTCCTCGCCCTCATGTCTCGCCTGGGCCGAGCCGCCGCTGACAGCGATCCCAACTTGGACCCGCTCATGAACCCTCACATCCGTGTGGGTCCCTCCTGAGCCCTTTCCTGGAGCTGGGCCAGCCTAGGACTTGGGGGCCTGAGGTGGGGAGGTCTGGGGGCTTTTTTTTTTTTTTTTCTTTCCTCTGCTCCTCTCTCCTCTCCCTCAAGCTTGAGACACTAAGATCCCAGGCCCGGCCGGGTCCACTAGAGTGGCTGCTGGCTGGGCCTGGGGCCCCTTGCAGTTCAGACATTTGGCTTGACCTGCTTACCCCGGGCCTCCAGCCTCCCACCCTCCTCCCCACCAAGGAGACGACAGGTGGAAATAAATGACAGACTTTATTAAAACCCCGAAGCCTCTTTTTCCTTCCCCCTTCTCAGCTCGGTCCTCAGGCCTCAGTGGTTCTCCTCCCGGTACTGGATGGCCAGAAACTCCAGGGACAGCCGGTTGAAGAACATGGCTCCATTTAGCACTGGGCAGAGGAGCGAGCCCCCGCATCAGCACTCCCTGCCCGCTCTCTGCCATGTCTCAGGGACCCAGAGCTCCCCCTCCCCCTGAGGCCGGCCCCCTCCCCCACTCACTCAGGACGACCAGGGCAAAGCACCGAAGAAACTTGTTTTCCGTCATCTCCGCGTAGAGTGACCCCATGGCGGCCCAGCAGATGCTGATCACCTGGGAGAACTGGAGCCCCCATCCAGTGGGAGAGTGGCCCCCGAGGCAACCGCGGGGTTTCTGTCAGCCCCTGGGCCTCCCCCAACCAGCCCTTGAGCCCTGGCCCCAGGCTACCATCAGGACAACCGTGTAGTGGAAGCTCATGCGGTCATAGTGGTGGGTGACACAGAATTTGTGCACGTCGCTGGCGAAGACACTCAGGTGTATGAAGAAGAGCATCAGTGAGGCCACAGTGAGCACCATGCCTTCTGGGAAGAAGAGCACAGCCAGTCGGTCCCGCCAGCGCATCCTGGCGGCAGTGTAGACGCCAGTCAGCCAGTGGAACCTGAGCGAGCCAGCACCGCCCAGGAGAAGCAGCCGGCCCCCCTCAGGTTCTGAGAGTGCAGAGCCCAGAAGAGCGGTGGGATTCTAGAACCACAAGGACGTGAGGGGACAAGATTCTAGAATATAGGCGGCTTCCAGCCAATACAGGAGCAGTTCACGAGTGGCCAGGGGAGCTCCCAGTGAAGGGAGGTTGGAGGGTGAAAGGTACAGGCCAGCGGGAGCCTGTTGGCTTCCTCATGCTGAGGAAGAGACAGTGTCCCTTAGCACCTCGCCCGCACACTGCACTCCTCTACGTATCTTCTCGCCGAGTCCCTTGACGGTTCCCCAGAGGAGGCAGCGCGGGTACATTGCTACAGAGCTGGGCTCGGAAAAGTGGAAGGACACGTTCCGTAGGTCCAGGGCAAGTCTCAGGCCGAGGAGAGACTAGGCCCCGGAAGTGTCGCCGAGGGCATTCCCAGGTGAGGAGGCCTGGGCTGAATTGCAGTCCCCAAGTATCTGCTCCATCCCCTAATGGGGAGGAGTGAAGGGAAGGGAAGAGGTGAGAGATTGCCCACAGCTGTTCTGGCACCTTCCCCCCTTTCCCTAGGGGTGGTCCAGAGAAAACTGGTTTTTCCATCCTCTCCCCAGATGTTCTTCCGGGGCCTGATGCTGACCCGCTTTCTTCTCTCGCCACCTTCAAGCTCTCAGCACTTTCACACCCATCACCTCTATCCTTTCGTAGAGTCCCAGGTGAGACCCGTGGCATAAATCCCGCTCTATGCACAAGTTTGAGGTACAGAGAGGGCGTGCCGGCTCAAGTGCTCATGCCCCATGAGTGAAGGAGTCAGTACTGAGACTCAGTTTCAGTTCTGCATGAGGCTGTGAGTGGGCAGGGGCACCTCTAAGCAAGAAGTTTCTCCCGTACATGTAAAGTGAAGACTCCAGGACGCTCAACCATATAGTCCAGAAAAATGGGCAGAAGTGGTGTGGAGAGATATGCACACTCCCAGGAACTAAAAGAGAAGGAGAGCATGAACTTGGCCACCCCCGGGGCCTCCTTCCTGTCTCTTTGCCTCAGAAGTTAGGTTCAAGGTCCGGCCAAGACCCAAAGTCTGCCACATCCTCGCTTGCTGCCCAGTGTCCTTAATCACAACCATCCTTAAGGCCCCCATTCTGACACATTACAGGGGTGATACCCAATGCCCAGCCATTGGCTCACCTCTGAGACAACTGTTTGCATATCGGTTCTCAGGTGAATACACATGAGCTCTTATACATGAGGGTTTCTGGCTCAGTGCCATTTAAAACTTTTTTAAATGTTTATTTAGGGAGGCACAGAGAGAGCAGGGAAGAGATGATCTGAAGCAGGCTTTTCACTGACAGCAGCAAGCACAATGCGGGGCTTGAACTCATGAACCATGAGATCCTGACCTGGGCCAAAGCCAGACACTCAACTGATTGAGCCACCCAGGCATCCCTGGCTCAGTGCCATTTAGAAAAGTATCCAAGTAGTGTGTGAATATGTTCTTGTAAAAGATTTGCATGATGGGCACCTGGGTGACTCCCGTTGTTAAGTGACTTCGGGTCAGGTCATGATCTCATGGTTTGTGAGTTTGAGCCCCGCTTCCGGTAAGAACACAAGTCCCACTTCAGGTGGGACCTGCTTCTCTCTCTCCCTCTCTCTCTGCCCCTTGCTTACTTGCACTCTCTCTCTCTCTCTCCCTCTCCCTCCCCCTCTCCCTCCCTCCCTCTCTCTCAAAATAAAATTTGCATGATACACAAGCATACAGAAGAAAAGGCTACAACCTCCTGCCTCCTATGTACCTAATAGAGGTAACCCCCTTGATAGTTTGGTGAGTGGACATCTTTTGGGTCCCTTCTTTGTTTAAAAAAATTTTTTTAATGTGTATGTATTCTTGAGAGAGAGAAGACAGAGTGCGAGCAGGGGAGGGGCAGAGAGAGAGGGAAACAAAGAATTTGAAGCCGTCAGCACAGAACCCAACATGGAGCTCAAATTCACGAACTGCAAGATCCTGTTTAAACGCTTATCGATATTCAGCTTCCCAGGATGTATTAGCACCTTACTGAGGGAGACCCCTCACTGATGGGTTAATACATCTCGGTCACATGCTCATTGCAGATCTAGCATCAGGCTTCTATCATTTTGAAACTTATACTCTGACAATACATGAGGTGTGATTCTCTTCAATGTTTTTAAAATTATGCATGTATACGCACATGTACGCACATGAAGTTACATCCAGAGGGGACCCAAAAGGAGCACCTGCGTGGCTCAGTCAGTTAAGCGTCCAACTTTGGCTCAGTTAACGATCTTGCAGTTTGTGAGTTTGAGCCCCACATAGGACTCTGCTGTCCGCCTACCAGTGCGGAGCCCACTTCCGATCCTGTCCCCCTCTCTTGCCCCTCCCCTGCTTGTGCTCTCCCCCAAATAAATAAATATTAAAAAAAAAAAAAAAACTACAGACACTGGAATCTTTCACATAACTTCACTGTTTTCAAGTGTACAAATAATGATTTGATATTTGATCACAATTAGTCTAGTTAACATGTCACATAGCTACAAATTTTCTTGTGAGAACTTTTAAGATCTACTCTGATTATATGAATTTAAATAATTTTCACATATCAAATATCATTCTTAATTTTTTTAAAACCGTTTTTAATGAAAACATGAAACAACACTCTTAGCTCACCGGCCATATGATAACACATGGTGGAATGCGTTTGGCTGGCAGGACCCCCGCCAAAGAATAAAAGAGGTGGTTTCCATTCCTACACTTCCCCTGCCCGCCCCTCCCCTGCCCGCGAGCCCACCACAGCCCATCATAAGTAATGTTTCAAGGACCACGACATAAAGTCGTCTTCTCCGTTAAAACTCATCGTATCTCAGTTTGAACTTCAAGCCATTACCTGTCCTCTTGTCCGGGCATTTAATAGTCGCAACCCCGCTGTGAAGTCTGTGACCTAGTTTTAGGATAGGGGAAACTGAGCCGCCGCCCAGGCGAGGAGCCAGCGAGTGCCGGAATGTCAGGCACAAGCTCCCTGGTTCCGCGGCCGGGGTTCCGTCCACGGCCTCCAGGGGGCCCTTGCCCGCAAGGGTGCGGGGCTGGGAGCCAGGACCCGCCTTCCGTCTAGGAGGGAAGCAACCGGACCAGTTCCACCCAGGGCTTCCCTCCCTCCACCCGAGGAGCTGGGGGAGCCCAGGATTCTCCCGGAACCTCTTCGCTCAGGGAGGAAAGGTCCGGGGGAACTCTAGTCTCGAAGGACCCAGGGCTGCGGGGGGACGTTTCACCTGAAGGACTGCCTCGTTTCAACAAGAACTTTATGGCTCCCGGAAGTGCCTCCTCCCGGGCCCTTTCCCAGCCTCACGCCGTGGCCTGCGGTTGGAGCGATGGCGGCGGCAGCCGCTGGGCCTGGCCCGGGGTCCGGACCCGGGGACTCTCCGGAGGGGCCCGACGCAGAGGCTCCGGAGCGCCGGCGGAAGGCGCACGGGATGCTAAAACTTTACTATGGCCTCTCGGAGGGGGAGGCGGCGGGGCGCCCCTCGGGGTCGGACCCCCTGGACCCGACGGATCTCAACGGGGCGCACTTCGACCCGGAAGTGTATCTGGACAAGGTGTGTGTACGTGTGGTGGGGGGAGCCAGGCTCCTGATGCCTTGCACCCCTAGATCGCGCCCGCGACTTTGTTGCGGGGTGAGGGAAGCCGGGGTTCATAAAAAGACGACACCCCTCGGGCAGGAAGCAGGGGACAGAGCTGGAGTCTAGGGGGGCACGGGCAGACCTGGACTGGCCTCAAGTGGTGGCGGAGTCCGTGATGTCCCGCGCTGACGCTCTGACAGGCCCCGGGTAGGGGGCGTGGCCCGGGCGCTGACAGCCTTAGGATGGGGCCTTGGCCGAGTCTGAGCATTTCAAATGCTGACAAATCCCAAGTGGGACCGAACCCAGTAACTCCTGTACCACGTCCAGAATCTATGTCTAGGATTCCAGACAGGGGAGGGATGGGGGTTTTCTTGCACTGAAAGCCGGAGGGACCCGAGTGCCCCCTGACCCGAGCACTAACAACCCGGTTTACTCCAGCTGCGTAGAGAGTGCCCCCTGGCCCAGCTGATGGACAGTGAAACAGACATGGTGCGGCAGATCCGGGCTCTAGACAGCGACATGCAGACCCTGGTCTATGAGAACTACAACAAGTTCATCTCAGCCACAGGTGATTCCCACCGGGACGGACCCTTCGCTGTCCCGCCGACCTGTTCCCCCGTGTGCGGGGGGGAAACCAGCAGGGGATTCAGGGGGACAAGACCCAGATTCCAGCCCGTCCCTAACATTAATCCGCCCTCGCCTCCCTCTCAGAGCTTTTGTGGGCAAATGATTATAGAGGTGCTAGCTGCCCAGAGTGTGGTTCTGAGGTCAAAGGAGAGGGAATTAAAAAAAAAAACAAAAAACGATGCAATTTTAAACCGAAATGGATTTATCTTAACCACGTAGAATCCGTGGCACTAAGTATGTCTCAGTAAGGGTTTCTTTCTCTCGTTAGTGGTAGCTTTCTTCTCCTGTCCAGGTCTATCTTGAGGGTGGGCTTGTCTCTGTCTTTGTCTCTCCCTCCCTCCCGTCCTCCCTTCCTCTATCTACCTCCCCTCCCCCGTTTTAAATTAAGCAAAGAGACAGAAAATGTATGACATTAAGGGACACAAGTTCATGTAAAGGTTTTCTTTTTCTTTTCTTTTCTTTTCTTTTCCCTCCTGCCCTCTTTATTCTCTGTCCAGGACAGTGCTAGACAACGGTTAGCTATCATGCACACTAACTTCTGTCTTATGTCAGTGAAATGCACTACTCAGAGTTTTTGTGATAATTTTGGACCCACGTGTACTTAATCCTAGAGGCAGATCCTGGGGGTCCACTTGTGGTCTGTGAGAATGTTGCGTGAACCTCTGTGAAGGCCACTGTGACGTCTCTTACTCTACTGAGTGTCACAATGCCGGATGTAGTAACATAGTTATTGTTCTTTTATCTGATTTGAAGCAGGCTCAGTGAATAGGCACCTCTGTATTTGCTAATACCAACGCCAACCAGCAAGAAATCCTAATTCCTGTGCTAAGAAATTTCTCACAGGAATTTTGCAGACATTACACTTTCCATTTCTTGGAATTTGTATTCTTTCGACATTTAGCTCTGGTTTAACAAACCACCAATAAAGATGTTTTGTTATTTT